TTCTGTTCAACGTACACGTCAGGGAAGTGGACACAGGCTTGGGAAACACACTGAGTGCATTAGAAAGTGATAGAGCTAGAGACTGCAGCTATACTGAACACTGTATCACTGAATAAAGCTTTCAATTTGTTTAATCACTACAGACTGGAAAAATTTAACTTAGATCTATAAGATGGCAACTTAAATCTGAAGCCCTCCAAGAGGTCCAAATATTAAATTATAAAAGTAGGGCAGGGGGAGACACGGTTAATGGGCCGAACATCTGAGAGAAACTTGGGCATTTTAATTGTCACTCAACAGCACAGTGCAACGGCCAATAACGCAAGTAAGAGTTCAGTCTGCACAGAAGAGAAGATGGTGGCCCTGGGGGGTGCCATCCGCTTTACTAAATCCACATTTTACAAGGGACGTTAATGAAATAAGCACTCAGAGAAAACGGGGCAGATTAAAGGCTATATTCAACATTTTAAGCGTAAGTTATGTAAGAAGAGGGGCAGACACCTCGGTGCAGTTTGGTGGTCTGGGCACAGCACGCACCAATGGCACAGAGGATGAAAGAAGCAGATTTGGGTTTAAGACAGTGACGTTTCTGACAAGCCTGGTGAAGACAATCGATCAGCTCAAGGCTGAGTGTCCAGACAGAAACATATGGAGGAGCTCATACCGGTCAGGGAGGCGACAGCAAGGATTCCTGCACCACGCAAGAGACAAGAAGGACCACCTGTAAAATCCCATGATTCGTGAAGCCAGCTAAGGTACGGTACAGGCACAACTATGCCAACACTGAAGACAGATTTCTGCATGGAATTTTCTCATTAAAACTAAGACAATTGGTCATTTCCCCTGGTTTGGAATTCTGAAGCCGTGGACCAGCTGGCAATGCTCCCTCAAAGCACTGTACTCAGGCATCCAGCTTGACAAGGCAGCACAGACGGCCACACGTCGCACAGAGCACGCTTCACCCCGAGGTCCCTTCACCTCAGGCTGCACCTTTCAGGGGCCGCATCACACAGCCGCGGTGTCAGCGCCCTGACGCAAGCACACCTGGTCCTGGCCACGCTGCCACCCTCCGTCAGACAGTGTGTACCGCACCAGGCATCACACGTTCACCCAGCATGAAAACAAAAGTCATTGTACAAAGGAAAGAACTCAAATACCCAGCGGGCCACCAATTTGGCATCAACCTCAGCAGATACCGTCACAGGAAGAGTGTCTACAATTCCGTATTTCATTTCACTTAGATTTTGATATGTGCACAAGAGTAAAATACGACACAAACCTATGTCTCAATATATCTAAATGAACTTTTCAATAAGTAAAGAATTTTAAGTGGTAGGAAAGAATTGTGTCATAGTTTTTAGTTAGAAAAGCTTAGCCTTTCCCAATGGTATGGTACATAAAATAAATAATAATGCCTCTGAAAGTCAGTGGTGTCTTGGACTCAATGAAATACAACGTGTTTCTTGCAAATTTGGTGTGTATTTTAGACTACATAGCCCTTTATTTGTACTCTACCTGTAACAGAATGGAATTCTAGAATTGTGGAGTTGGAAGGAACCTTGGCGGTCACTTGGTCTAACTCAATCTAGTACGTGAATCCTTTCAACAATATATAGTGGATGACAACTTCCAAAGAAGCTGAAAGATTCCCATCAATTGTGGAACCTATCAGAGAAAGCATGCAATCCACAAGAGGATTTCTCAAGCAAATCACATAAAGCACCCCCCAAAAAAGGTCTGACCTAAGAAAATTAAGATTTATGTTCAGTGAAGGACGCCACAAAGTTAGCACAGAAGTGACAAACTGGAATAATGTATTTGCAACATATTTAACTGATAAAAGATTTATAGGAATTCCCATAAATCAGCAATAAAGATGGTAGAAGAACTGAATGGACAAAGAATAGGAAAAGGCATTTCACAGAAAGGAACACCAGGATATCTAATGGCCGCATAAAGAGTTCATCCCTGTTATCAATCAGAGATACAGCTATGACATTATATAACTGTCCTCTAATTTACAGGATGAAAGTATAGATTTTAGTATTTAGTAAAGTGGCACAGAAAGTCTATTAAAAAGAATCCCACATGAATCATTTTATAAAGTAAATTTTCATTTTATAGTTTAAAGTGGTAATCCTATTTGTTTTCTAAATTAAGGTTTATACACATCAGCTTGTTTTGAAGCAGCATAATACCTTTACAGAGAAAGTATATTTTATGATTTCCAAATAAATATACATATATATCTCATTTCTTTTACTACTAGAATTTCCTTGTTTTAGAAAACACAACAAACTTGTAAACTTGAGCACAGTTTAAGCACAACCCAGTAGGGGAAATATTCACTGTCTGTTTCACAAATAAAAATCTTAATGTTAACTGATGCAGTGCAAATCACTACATCAATGGTTTGCCATTTTAAGGAAAATGACAGGTTGGGTGACAGGTATTACTAGGTCAAATGCAATTCAAATCACTAAGGACAACATATGGTTAGTTCTAGAAAATATTTCAGTAGGCTCTCAGGCTATGAAGGTCGCATATTGCTCACTGCTTCCAGGACTAAGCAAAAGAAAGGGGGGAAAATAATTCTCACCAGCCTGGGAAAAGCAAAAACATCTTCGACCTGCGTCAAACAAGGAGGTTCCCAATTCAAACAGATGGATATCAGTTCTGAAGTACAGTTATGTCATGAAAATCCCCAGCAAGTCACACGATACTGCCAAAAAAGCCAACACCCGCGTGTACTTTAGTTGTGTGTATACACACATCCAGAGACCACTTCAGTTGGCGAGTGTAGGTTTCATATTTTAAAATGTCCATATATTTAAGAGTCAAAGAACAAGTTTTTTGTCTTTTTCCAAAAAGACAGCTTCTGAAGAAAGACATATATTGTGTGTATACTGACGGGCAATATGAATCTCCTTCACAGGTTTCATCTTAATGTTACCACGCTGTGCACAATACACAGAAAATAATGCTATTTGAAAGGAAAAGGAAAAGGAAACATAAACTCTGCAAGTTTGCAAGCTGAAGGTAACAAATGAGCGAAAGAACTGCAAGAACGTCCAGAAGCCCAAAGAGGCTGCCCCAGACCATGGGATGTTTGGAGTCTGGAGACTTTGTGTTTTCCTACTTTAGTATCATATGTAAGTGGGCACACAACTCCCCAGAGAATAACGTCTGGCCTATTGTTTCTGAGGGCGAGCAAAACAGATGGTTCTAGTCAAAGTGCTTCCCTAGCCCCCGCCTCACCTGCTATCTGCTGAGGGTGGTGGCACGGCGGTGGCCGGAGGGAGATGGATGCTGCTGGGGCGGGAAGGGGGGTTTAAATCAAAACGGACAGGTAGAGCAGTGAGGGGTGGATGGAATGTAAATTATGTTTGGCTTTAAATATCAGAGTTTTAATGTTTTATTAGTAATAAATCCACCTTCTCCCCCCTTAAACTGCTGTCACAACATGTATTAGTGGCCCCTGACAAATGCTTGAAATCTCTGCCATCATTATTACACAGGAAAGGCTCTGAAAGAATTCCAAGCAATCCATCCATGTCGTACTTCGACAAAGCAAGTGAAAGGCAAATGGGTAGAGAAGATTTAGCTCTGGAGAAGGAGTAAGAAAGCCTTAACTCTAGCCCTGGTTCTGCCCCTCAAAACCTAGCGGGCGGACCCAAGTCAAGGAGCTGAATTTCTTTGAGATTCAGTTATCTGGTATGTAAAATGAAGGAATTAGACCCTCCAGTTATATAAGAAAGTAGCCAGCGGTCTAGATGGCTAGGGTGGCGACAACAAAAGAACTGTCAAATAGATACAATGTTGCCAATAATTACACTCCATAATTAATTTTCAAGTATTTTCTAATTAGTGCCACAACTTGAGAAGAAAAAAAATCCTTCAACAAGCTACCAAAAGATGAGAAAACACTGTATAAAGCTGATTAAATATTTTCTTATGTTAGTAAAACCAAATAAGCTAGGATGACATTTTTTAAATTACACATAAGTTATTTTAATAATTGCTCTTCAAATAATGAAAATTTAGTCACAAAGAAAGTAATCTATTTAAAAATTTTAAAGCTTTTATTGCAGCTAGCAAAAGACAAGGAACAATCTAAGAATTCGTATGTAATTTATAACTTCAACTAGAAACAAATTCTTAAATACTTATAGTAATTGCACAGAAGAAAGGTGGGGAAAAGTATTTACATGATTATTTGAGTTACACTTACAGAAATCCCGGCACAAAACTTTTAAGATTTCCACAAGTCATATAAGGAAAAGCTCAGAGTAATTATTTTAGGAATGACCTAATTGGGGTTAAAATATTAATAAGACGGATAATAAGCTTCAAAAACCAAGCTAAAAACAAGTTTGCCACCTCGAACACATGAAACGTCACTAAATGGAAAAGGAATCTGGATGACTTAAAAATAATTGAACCTCTGCTAGTTATAATGTTGGAATCTTTCACTTGGAAATACAATAAATACAATCACAGCTAAGAAGAAAAGACGTGTTTTTATTAGTATGAGCTATCTTTCTCTGACATTTATAAACCCTAGGAATAAATGACAGTTCCTTTTCAAATAAAATATGAACAACAACAACAAAATCTTGGAAATTAAAACATTTAATTTTGGTTTTTTCTGCCAGATGATGAATTCAGGGTGTGCTAGTAAAATTATAATGTTGGCTTTTAAAAATATGTTTTTTAAACTTTCACTTTTTGTTTTCTAAAATCATTGTCTATATTTAACCACTACATTTCTCATTATAAACTCCCACTTAGCGTATATTTAGTAGAGTTGCCAATACGGATGTGACAAACTCATTATCCCACAAATCAAACATCTAGTTTCCACTCTTTTGCATTACATTTTTTAAAAGGTAGAAGTCTACTCTAGATTAGGATTTCAAATATTTCTTGAGAAAACCATTTATACTAAAATCTGTCCACTGATTCTTCCCTAAAAGTATGGTTTTGAAAAGAGACTGAACTTTTCATCCTTAGCTTTTATTACACTTATGTTTACATTAGACAAGACATACAATTTACATTGATAAGCATAACACTACTGCAAAAAACAAATCATATCATCATTGAATTTTAGGGTGGAAGAGATCTCAGAGAGCAGCTGACCTAACCCTTCCTTCCCAAAGCCTCACCCCCCATTTTACAGATGTGGAAACTGAGGCCCAGAGAAGCTGCACGTTTCATTCATGAGTTTTGCTTTGCAAGACTAAAAAGGCTCTGGCTAGTCTAATTCCTTCTATTTCTTCTCATGAAGAAAAAATATCCTGTGCTAGTATTTAGAATGCTTTACATTTCAATATACTGATCACACACATAAGATCAATGAGGCTTAAATCATACAATAATTATATAATTAAAACTGGGTTAAATAAATACATATCTATAAATTTTTCAATATAGTGAAATCCTTAGTTATCTTTTAGATTTATCACAAATTTCTAAGAGATAAACAACTCACAAATTTTCAGACATTAGCCACATTTAAATATGTGTTTTCTTAATGTCTTAATTGTTCCAACAATCAATATTTTCATCATTATAGCGATGGTTCATGAACATATCTGTATACACAACAAACTATCTTACTTAATTTTATGAAGCTCTGTTCATAAAGGTCTAAAATCACAATACAATTTAAGTAAAGTACAGACTATTCATAAGGGATTTGACAGGTGACAACACAACATATGTCTTTAGTTTAACACAGATGGAAGACTGCAAATAAGAAGTCAATAACAGCAACAAAATCTGCATAACCGAGAAATCATGATACTACAGAGCGCGTCAGGTCACAGAGCGAATATTAAACAAACAGACATGTGATTGGAACACTACACGAATGTCGTGTGCTAACATCTGGAATTAAGATCTACTACAGTGGAGAAAATGAGGTGCCCCTGAGAGTAAAGGTAAGCATTAAATCTCTGCACTTCGTTGTTGTTTTACACGGAGAAATGAAATTCTTATCTCATTAAAAATTCTCATTTGTATTAGTAATTGCAAGACAATGAGTAAGCTGAGTCAAAACTCTTTGCAAACTTATATTTTATTATTAAAGAAGACAAAATTAACCTGCAATGTTTCTATTAAATATTTCATGAGCATATGAGCTGACATTGAGATTTTTTTTTTAATGTGACACTGTTCGTGTCAAAATTTTACTGAAATGTTTTTACTGAAAGCACTAAATGTAATTTATGCTATATTGTAAAGAACGAATTTTCACGGTTTGCAATTTAAAATCTTTGACCAGATAACTGCGAAACCAAGATATTTATGTTGTCAGTTAAAATACATCTTTTCCCAAATGATATATCTATAAATTCTTTCAGAATTAGGATGGCAGAACACATATGAAAAAAAGAAAAAGAAAATTCAACGAAGCTTGTCAAAAGAGAAAACTTGAGAAAAAAATGACAAGCTAATATTTCACACTTTAGAGGCTTTTTAAACTGTGTTTTATGGATTAGTCTCTGGACCCTGTGCCAATAAAGCTGCACCACCAAGACTCATCAACATAAAAGATGTTCAGCTTGAGAAGTAGAATCCTCAAGAGGAAACCGAGAGAATGAAGCAGGCAGAGAGAGACAGAGAACTAGAGACATCAAATCCATGTGGAATCATTCCCCAAAGAATACAAACGACCGGCAATACAATTATGAACGTAAGTAAGTGTTCAATCCAAAAATACAGATGCAACCTGTAAAAAAGAAAAAAGGAATTTTTAAAAGGATAAATTTGGGGCCAAAGTTGGACTTCAGGCATTTATATGAAATTAACTAAATTTTCCACTGATTATTACTACTTCATGAAAAACAATGGTCACACGAGAAAGTAGGCTTTGGGGTCACAGTCTCTTCTGTCTAACATACAAATAATTTTAGAATATTTACATATTTCAAAATTTTTTTATCAAAATTTTTTAAAGCACAATTTGGGCATAGTTAGAATGAAAAGCTAAGAATTAAAAGAACAAATATCTTGACAGTATAATCCTAAATAATAGAGTGTACTCTATTTTACTGATCAACTAGAATGCTACCTAACTAATCACATGGAAGGTAACACAATTAAAAAAAAGAAATACTCAAGAGAAGCATTACATAAGCTATCATATTATAGTACAAATTTTCAAATATCTAAGATTTTGTAAGATTCATTTTACAAATGTAAAGCCATCACAAATCACAATTAGTTATAAGATGCCAATAAAATCTTGAAAGACCTCTATAACTCACATAAAATCTGTTTCTCAGTTTTAAGGTGCATTAAAAATTATTTATAAAGTGCATCCTTCCTAAAATCCATTTAAAAGGTTGTAAGCAAACTGAAAATGTTTTAATTATTCTACATTTAATTATTTATGTAAAATAGTCACAACATTTTATCAAGGAAAACTGATGTGCTGATGCTAACATGAAGAAAATCAGTATATTAGTTTGAAAACAATGTCCTTCTGTGAAATTTGCCTACTCTAGACATGATTCTTTCAAATCAAGCAGTTGGAGGAAGTGGTGCTGCAATATTGTCCTTTTTTTTGAAAAAGGTCACATAAATAATCTGCAACGTACTCTTCCACTAAGAAAAAGCGCATGGTCTAAATCTAATGATGACCAAAGAGGGACAAAAAGTGTAAAAGGAAAAGTATACAGGCACCCGCAAAACATACTATGTTCTGGCTAAAAGTTGTTTTCAAACAGCACATGTCAACCTAAAACAAATGATATGTATTTCATTCTAAATCTAAAACACATATAATTGATATTTTGATAATGCTGTATGAAGAAATTTATATATAATTGTCACTAATTCAAACAACATAGGCTTTGATTTTAAGAACTATATGATGGTGAAAGTTCATCTTATAAAATGCTGTTTAATTAATTAAACTGAAAGCTCACAAAATTATAAAATAATTACATGTTTAGGATCAAAGTCAAATTTGGATTATTTCAAACCTTTCTTAGTTCTTGTATTTACACAGCCCACACTACTAAAAAAATGAGAGTAACACAGACCTAGCTGTGCAGACAAACTGAGGTTAACACAATAGCTTACTTAAACCAGAGAAACAGCACACGTGTAAGTATGTATCTTCTTTTCTACTGATCTGTGACAGGGCAGACCCACTCCATCACTAACAAGTAACCCACGGCAGCAGGGATATGCCTTCTGCCTCGTTAAGTGACACCGAGGCCCAGGGCAGCGGTGGGACTGGCTGTGGCAGCCCCGGCCCTTCCGGCGGTGCAGCAGCTACAGTCAAGTAAGCCTTTGTGAAGTCTGAGAAATAAATAATATTCGGTGTTATTTTTTGAACCCAGAAATGAGGTAAGGGGCTGTTAAGATATCAAATTTACTAAGAAAATAATTATGTGAGAAATAAGTTGCTGTCACAGGAGAGACTTGCCAGGCGCTGCATCTGAGCAAGTGGTTAGACACACCTTTGGAATCAGTTTTGTGACAGAGGCTGGTCTGCGGTACTAAAGCGCGTGAGAGCAGATCGGAAGAAGCTGAAGAGCAGGGGAGCGTCTTCCTGAACAGCCGCAACATCACCTCGAGGAAGTAAGAAGCCTTACGAGGCTCCCAAGGAGTAGATGCTGACCTGATCCTCCGGTTCAGGACATGTTACAAACTGCTCTTTTATAACCTGCTTCCATACCTCACGTTTCTAATAAACATGATTTTACTTTATTAGATCCTCATGCCTGTGCTCTCACCAAATCCAAACCTGAAACTTGAAAACTACCTTGGATATTTGTGGGCAGCCACAGAAGGGCCCTCAGAAGCAGACGCATATTAAATATTAATTATAATGACGACTGCCACCTTTTATGGTGATGATGTCATTATTTAGGAATGCTAATTAAGACATTAAATGACTTGTTAATTGCAAACGCATTCTGAAGGAATCTCTTTGTCCTTGTACGTTGAATAGCAAATCCAGCGTGGGGACCAGACCATAACAGACCGCAGTTCTATTTTCTAAAATGCTGACATTTGAGCAAATGTTCCCATGGAATGTTTGCCTGCTTCGTGGACTGACATTTCCTCCTGGTAACTGGCTTAAGTGAGAAGGCGGCGTCCAGGCCAAGCCCCACAGCCTGCAGGCAGCGGGCCATCACTCGCGGCCGCAACTGTGTCCGGTTTCTCTCTTGCTTCCCCCTTGCCCTCCCACCCCCCGGCCCTCTGTCGCCTCTGGATTTTGACACGCATATTATCTTAGCTGATTTCTATCATCTTACGGGACTGGGTGACATACCTTCAAAGATTAAGCTTTCCCACCTGGGATTTGTCCAGAAATTCAGTGTATTACAGCTTCTCACAGCCTTCTTCATTCTCCTACACTCTTGTGTTATCAACAGTGGCTTTCTTTCCTATTTTATGTTTAACTACAGGACACAGGCGGCCACGCTGATAGAAGTCGGTTTACACTGCCACTCATCTCTGTTCTAACTGCCAGGCTGACTTCCGCCGTCTGTAGCGCTCTGCTGCCATCTATACGTAGAAAAGGGCACAACGCTCTTCCACCCCCACACCCCGAAACTCTTCCCCCCACACACACCCCGAAACTCCCCCTGTTCCAAAGAGAATCCTGTCTCTGATGACAAGGGAAGCTTCAGGAGTAATTTGCTTCCCCACAAAAAAGCTTCCCTGGAAGCTTAGAAGGAATTTCTGTTTATTTATCTGTGAAGCAACTTTCGGAAGAGTACTGAAGATGCGTTATTTAACACAAACCAAAACCAACCGTCCGTTATTGCTGTGGATAAATTTTAGCGAATATGGCCACTTCTAGAGTTATGACTGAAAAAGAAGAGGCAACAAGAAGTTAAAGTTTTAAGTCACTTAAATAATTACAATAAAAATAATTGTGCAAAACTGCAATCTAAATATCTTGCCAAATATGATCAAATGATCACTTTCATAATATTTAATATAAAGTAAATGTAAAGAAACCAGATTTAAAAAATATCTACTCACATTATTTAAACTACCAAAAACTCAAATACTGTGGTTTGATAATCACCTAGTCTCTGTCAAATGCCCAAATGCTGCCTTTCTAGGGAAGACAGAGAAACGTGTCAGAACCCTAGAGCCCTCAGCCTTCCCTGTGGTGCAGATTACGCTGAACCGTGCAGACAAATGTCAGCGTCAAAAAAGCACACAAACAAGAAAAACACTCCGGGGTGGGCCATACAGGAACCTTAAGCAAAACAAACCAAAAACCACAGAAAACCCTTCCTCTTTCCTCTGCTAAAACCGCTGAAGAATAATTAATAATTAATCTACTTGGTAAAGGCAGAGATCGATATTTCCAGTCTGGACTAATCGGGTGTGTCCACAGTCCTAGAGAACACTCCTTAAAGGTTTATTTTGTCAACACTACTAGTTTCTAAAAGACTTTTTACTGTTAAAATAACTGGCACCAATGAGATGTACGGGGGTGGGAGGGGAAAGGACTCGGGAGGGGCTGTACCCTGATATAGCGAACAAAATGTAGAGTGCACCCTGGGTGTTCCCCTCCACCGACCTGCCATTCACAGAAAGTTCAGGACTGCTATCAGTGCAACGCTTGCCACCCAGCAAACACCCTATTTTAATCATCGACACTATGACTGTATACAAGTTGAGCTCATCATTGAAAATTCAACATTTTCTAAGGAACTGTCAGTCCAAGTGATTCTAATGACAAACTTAACATAGTTTAACAAGCCAAACCAAGCCTTTATGCATATTTATTTATAAATAGAGCAAATTTAAATTCATCATGAATGATTTTTTAATTAACATCCCTAAACAACATACACTTCATGTGAATATTACTAGAAGGCTATCATAATGAAACCTACTAATCTTTGATGCTAGACATTTTTCAAAACTGGAAATCTAAATTAAATAAATCTTCATACAATTTATTATTTGCTGGCACTGGTAAGGTATCCAATTAATGATTTACAGTAGAAATATATAAAAAAGATATTACACATTAAATTTCTTTGAAATAGAAAAGGTTCCACTTTATCTTACTATATGTACCAACTTCAAGGATCCAACTTTAACAAAGAGAATTCTATAAATTCCATTTGTACTAAAAGGATAAAGTAGAAATCTTGTTTGATACCAAGCTCTATGTGATGTTTTAAAGGAACAGTTAAGTTTAAATTCTTAGTTTTACATACTCTTCTTTTTGGGGGAAGGGGGACAGATCCATTATCTGTGGTATTAAACTAGGTATTATTTATGTCTACATCTTAATTTATGCAAATTATGTATTCTAATCTAATTGGGAATCCAAAAACAGTCCTCCATTCATCAATAAAAGTCCAAAACAAAATGTTTCACTCATAGTACCTTCACTGACTTACTACCGGTTTACTATTTGTGTTTATAGATACATCTAGAAATTAGTGTTAAGATAAACATGTACATTTAGCTATTTGCATTAATTTTGGTTTAATTGTGCAAAGCTAAAATAATACTTTGGATTTTATTTAGTAACAAGTCACTATTGTAAGTGAATTAAGAGTACCAAACCCAACAAACATACCTTTGTGTGGTCCACTAATTATAAGAAAAATTCCAAACACTATTAGCTGTTATTAAAGTCACAATACCACCTAGAGCTAATAAAACAGAACAATCTGTTTGAACAGGAGAGGAGAGCTTTCATAGTGTTCTCTCTCATATAAATTCTTAATGGAGTAGGAAGGACTTTTAAGTGGCTTTAAATTTGAATTCGACTGCTCAAATCTGTAACAGGCTTCCAAGGAGAATCTGAGCGGATGACACACAGGGACCCGCCCGCAGTGCGCCCGTCTGGCTCGACCCTCATGAATAGAAGATAAAGACGCTCAGTGTCTTCCTAAGAACCACAGGAACCCATCAGCCATATTCACATTGGTGGGGTTCATGCACCACCAGCACAAAATTTAAATCGTAAAGTGAAAAAGGCTTTTTCTGTGTGCTGCAGCTCCACCTTGTAACAAACCAAAGAGGTTTGCAAATGTATTAAATATCACAGGGACTGAGCCGCACAGGTGACGGACAACAGGATCCATCAGAAAGAAATGAAGACTGGAGAACGAAGGCAGAAAAACACAACTTCACTGGAGCCCAGGGGTGCCCAGGCCACCGCTCTGTTCACCTGACCCTCCACCCCTGTCGAGGAGCTCATCACTTTCCCAGAAACAGACACCCTGCATGCAGTCCACATGGACGCCAGGCCTACCTGCAAACACACCGCAACCATCCTCGGGTTCTAACAGCCGCACTCACTGCTCTTTACCAAGTAAAGCCCTCCTGCCCGGGAAGTACCTTCACAACTTCAATGTTAACAAGTTGGTAACACACTAGAGTGATTTTATGTTGCTCTAAGCACATATGAGAATTATATACGAATATATAAAAATTAATTTTAGACCTCATAAAATACATAAGGCTGTATCAATTTACACATCTACCAAGCAAAACAAGTTATCTTCAGAGACCCAATATGGAGTTATATTTTGCGTATGCTAAAATGTGGACAAAAATGTATTTGCAGTATTAAAGCAGAAGCATTTATTTTTCAATCTTAGAAAATAGGTTAATTGACAGTAAACTGATTTGGCAATTTTTTGTTTGTTTGATTTAGTATACTAATAAGAACAAATGACTTTTTCTAGTTATCAAGCTATTGGTTCTTCCGATCCCATAGGAGCAAGTGTCGTTGGTCTCCCATAGCCTTTAGGGAAACGCACACAGCGGCACAGCGCTCAATATAAGAGCCATGCATCGAATTGAACTACCGTGACCGAAAAGGCTGTGGTTATCCCTGAGGAGTCAGTCCTCTGGGTTTCGTTTTAGCATTGCTGACAGGCTACCATCACACCCTGCGGGGCTGGATTTGGGGGCCTTCCAGCTACGCAAACACTGGTCCTTTGGGTTCGTCCTAACCGGGTCCCTCCAGAAAGAAAACACAAAGCTCTTAACTCAGACCTCCTGCACTGTGGTCAGTGGCGGGAGTGACAAGAGAGGTGAGCCTGGGCCCACCAGGGCCCTGTGCTGCCCGCCCCGCTCCACCCTGGTCTTCTCAGACCAGCCCTCTGACAGGCACAAGGCACCGTCCGACAAGGTCCCAAATGCAGGTTCCGGGCGGCACTTTGTGAAACAGGGGCTGGGCAGGCTCATCGACCTCTTCCACCTCAGAATTCTGTGGCCCATTTAGTAAAAAACAAGGGTCTGAAACATCGTTTTTCTCTTCCTAATATGCCATAACAGGTGAACGTTTCAGCGGCAGGAACTACGGACATCTGAATGAGGAAGACATTCTTGCACAGAGTTCCCAGCAGCAGTGTGGCAAAGGGCAGGCCCCCCACGGGCAGCAGCGACGGTGCCCTGCAGCCACTCGCTGCCACCCTGGCCTCACGTCAGCCTCAGCGAGGAGCAGAGAGCACCTGGATCAGAGGGCAGAGCAGCCCACGTGCGCCCCTGACCCCCGGCGGCACCGCCGCCCTTGGGCTGGACTGGCCCCCTTCCCAGGGGGGTGACTGCTGCGCACCGGATGGTAGGAGGGCCTTACTGAGGAGCTGACACCTGAGCACAGGCAGGGAGCAGTTAGAGACCAAGACCATGAATATCAAGGACAGAGCAGCACCATGGAAGCAAGGGCAGAGGCCCCCAGGGAAGCATGTCTTGGGACCCGCAAGACAAGGTGCCCACCCGTTTCACAGGTGACGAATGGGGCCTGCAGGTGACGCGAGCTGAAGCCAGCAGCGCGGGGCCTGGGTCTGTGTCCTGGGCATCCTGACGTGGGAGGCCCTGCCTGTGCTCCAGTGCCCACGGACACCTCCTTCCCTCTGGCCCCAGGACACAGGCTTCTGCTCTGAAGCTCTTCACATGGCAGTTTGCACACGTGAGCTGCCACATAGAGTGCAGGGGGCACGACGGGCTCCGGTGCAACCAGGCGGGAAGGGCTGGGTCTGGCGCAGCCTGAGGTCGCCCTGACAGCCCCTCCCCGACGGCGAGAACGATGCCCCTGGCCCCTCCTCACTGCCCTACTCTTCTCACACTCCCTGCCGGCTGGCCAGGCTCCGAAATAAATACGTGGGGGAGCAAGGCCCAGGAAAACAGTCCTCCATGCTGTCTGTGGGGCCCGACCCTCCTGCACCTGCACAGCAAAGGCCACACTGGTGCTTCTGTTCTGTTCCAGAACTGGGTGAGTCAGGCACGAAGTACACGTCCCCCCAAGCACCTGCCCTGCCCCGTAACGCAGTCGTCCCAGTGTACCCCGTCACCCCCTGGTTAGAGCAGCCCCAGGAGGTGTGGGCTTCCTCCCCATAAATAGGAGACGAACGGCGGGGGGGCTAGAAGCAGCCAGGAAAAAGCCACTGGAGAGGGCACTTCTGTCTCTCAGGAGATTACACTGCACGGTCCCCTCCCCGGGGCCCCATTTCTCCCCCAGCTTCGCTCCCTGCACTGGCTTCTCTGACTCCCGGATGCTGAGGCGCTGCCTGGCCACCCCGCCAGCCACTTGGCTCACAATCAGCTCCGCTTCCTGCCCTGCCTCCTGGGCTGGAAGCCCCACCAGGAAGACAATTAGACTCGGCCCCTCTGCTCCCAATACTCAGATCCGCTAGCCGGTCCCGCACAGCTGGACAAGGAAATCCTGCCCCGCACGCCGCCTGCCCCAGGTACCTTCTGGGCACGTAGGCCTCCTGGCTGTCGTGAGACAAAATCAAACAAATGACCCACAGAGAGTCGAAAAGGAGATAATGAAGATAATTCAAGAGTTAGAAAACAAATGACACGGAGGGAGTTATTCAGTTTCAATGACAGAAAGTCAAAGAAAGACTTAATAACGGTCTTGAACACTGAGAAGGGATTTGAAAATCGTTCTCAAAACTAAAAAAAGAAGAGCAAATGACTTTCTGTCTCCACAAAAGACACAAGGAAAAGAAAAAAGCTTAAGAAGAAACTTAGGTATGTGGGGAAAGTTCTTAAGGTGAGGACTATTTTACATGAGAATTATTACCAATGGAGATCATCATTTTCTTCGATGGTCTTTAGAACAAGCTGCCGAATACGCGGGTCTGAGTTTTGATCCTGGATCGGCCGGTCACCCGGCGTGTGACTCAGAGCAGCAGGTGGCTTCACTCATAAAATGAAAATCATATTAAATTACTTCTAAAGTTCCTTTTAGCTCTAACATTTCATGATTGCATCATTTTTATTTTTAAAAAATAATCAAGGCTATTCCAACATGACATTGTGAGACCAAAGGGTCATACTGGGCTAGATTTCCTGTAGACAGTTCTCGTCCAACAGTATGACTTCAAGAATGAAGTATGATTATCAAAGAAGCTGTGAGGAATGGTGGAAAACTCCAAAGTCATGACAGTAATGAATGCTGAACAGATAAGAAATTTCGGACAGAAATTAATGAAAAATATTATTTACACAGTAAAAATTTTAAAAGAACAATAAAGCAGGCTCCTAAAACATTTCCTCATCAAAATGGGCAGGACTATGTATATTGGATAATTTGTTCCTAGTTGGGTGATGTCACCACGCTAGGTTTAACTACTTTTAATAACTAGTACATTTCAGTCGTCTCTCACTTTCTCCTACATAAGATCAAATCAGCCTCTCAATGACCTACACTTCATGAGTCATAATTTTTCTGTTTATGATTCAGAAAAATGTCTTCAGTCAGTATTTCCCAGACTGCTGTGGGTTTATTCCAAGAACCAATTTCATCTTCATTGGTTTCCTACAGGAAACCAGACCAACTTCCTATTATTTTATTTTCCTTACTTTTAGCATACCATAGCCCACATCAAATTAACTGGAAGTGAGAGTGATAGAAGGCTCTATTCTGCACAGAGAGAGGCCAACACAAACAATGCCCGGTCTAGAAGTCACGGATTCAAAATGAAATGCAACGTGTGCTAATATTAGGGCTTCCTTTCAAAAGAGCTCCATACCAAATAAGAAGAAACATATTTTGATTAACTTCTTACAAACATTCCACTGTCGGAAAGAGCTTCTGTTTAAAAGCACTGTCTATGAATACAACAGAAGCTACAAAGCTGACTAATACAGAGAAATTAATTATGAGGAACGAAATATGTGTTCTCCATCCTAGCCCCTCACAAGCTGCTGGGAGAACAGGTAGGCAGCTGAAGGCCAACACACAGAGCTGTGGAGGGGTGGGCAGGGGCACAGCTACGCCCCCCGAGCCAGCCGCAGTCTGCTGTCACCAGCTGTCCTTCCCAGCCAGCCCCTCCCCACACCCACTCTTTCCACCGCTAAGAACCCATCTGACATCAGACCGCACAGGAAGAGGGGCATGGGACACGGGCTTTCCAAAGACACTCTGACGGTGGCTTGCACTCACACTGCTCCTCAAGAGCACTAGGAGTACCCGGGAAGTACGCGTTCTCACTGACTACACGCTGCTCGGAAAAAGAGTTCTGAATGTGGAGAATTCTGGTATAAACATGTATCAGATTATTCTTAGATTCTTTCCACTCTCAGCTTTACAAGCTCACATAGTCATTAGCTGGCAAGGAATTTATACCAAATGCAAAAGCTGATGCATTGAAGGAAGAATGCATTTAAGGCGCATATTACACACAGATAAACAAGAAACCAGAAACATTAGCAGAGCGGTTCTCAAACTGAAGCCCCCACACCAGGGTCAGCATCTCCTGGACACATCCTGGGAAAGGAAGACCTCACGAATCAGACAGGCTGCTGGGCAAGGCAGGACTTTCCTAGGAAAGAATCCACTCAACTTACAACCCTTCATAACCCTTGACTTCTACGCCCCTCGCCTTCCGGATAATTCCTCTACCGCATCGCTAAAGTGCTCTCCCTAAAAGCCCCAAACCACCCCCACCCTAACCACAAAGGCCACGACGCCCGCCCGCTCGTCACTCCCGCGCACGCCTCTGAAGCCCTAGCGCGGCACACACCTCCTGCCTGAACCGCCTGGTCTCTTGGCTCCCTCACACAATTCCACCCTCCTGCCTCTTTGACCCCACCTCCCTGTCACCCATGACGCCCCTCGCAAACGCTCCCAGGCCCCAAGGCTCCATCTTCATCCACTCCTCTGTTTTCATCTGCTGCCTTGGCTTCGGCCTCTCAAGAACTCCCAGGACTGAACTCCAAATCTCTCTCAAACCTCACAGCATACTTTCAATTGCCTTTGACCTGCATTACCTGAATGTCCTTCAAGTACCGCTGGTAGGACGAGTCCAAGAGGGAGCCTCTCACACACCCCGCAACTCAGCAGTCCCTCCTCGGACACCTGCTTCTAGCACCAGGACCATCAGTCATCTGGCCCCAGTGCCCTGGAGCAGCGCTTCCCTTCCTCCCCAGCCCCGTATCTTGTCGGCAGAGGGTCAGCCCTACATGCCTCCTGTTCCATCCTCCTCATGCCCACTTCGACTGCCACCACCTTCACCCAACAACTTCTTACTCTTCTGAAGCCCCACCTGTAGACTCACCTCTGAATCTATTTGTCTCCTGTTCAAAAACAAGACCAGGATGCCCACCCTCACCACTTTCATTCAACATAAGTCCCATAAGCCACAGCAATCAAAGAAGAAAAAGAAATAAAAGGAATCCGAATTGGAAATGAACAAGTAAAACAATCACTGCCTGCAAATGTCATGGTGCTAAACCGAGAAAATCCTAAAGATGCTGCCAGAAAACTACCAGAGCTTGTCAATGAATTCAGTGAAGTTGCTGGGTACAAAATTACTACACGGAAATCTGTTGCATTTCTGTACACGAACAATGACAGATCAGAAAGAGAAATTGAGGAAACAATCCCATTTACTATCACACCGAAAAGATACCTAGGAATGAACCTACCTAAGGAGGCAAAAGACCTGTACTCTGAAAACTATATGATAGTAATGAAAGAAACTGAAGACGACACAAACAAATGGAAAGATATACCATGTTCTTGGATTGGAAGAATCAATATTGTCAAAATGGCTATACTACCCAAGGCAATCTACACATTCAATGCAATCCCCATCAAATTACCAATGGCATTTTTCAAAGAACTGAAAAAAAATTTTTTTAATTTGTATGGAAACACAAAAGACCCCGAAGAGCCACAGCAATCTTGAGAAACAAGAACAGAGCTGGAAGAATCTCATTGAGCAAAAGATGCTAAACATCACTAAATATTGGAGATGCAAACACTCGTCAGAATGGCCATCATCAAAATGTCTACAAATAATAAACGCTGGAGAGGGTGTGGAGAAAAAGGAACCCTCCTACACTGTCATGGGAATGTAAACTGGTGCAGCCACTATGCAGAACAGTATGGAGGTTCCTTAAAAAACTAAAAAGAGGGTTATCACATGATCCAGCAATCCCACTCCTGGACATATATCCGGAAAAGACAAAAACTCTAATTTGAAAAGATACATGCAACCCCAATGTTCGCTGCAGCACTATTTACAATAGTCAAGACATGGAATCAACCTAAGTGTCCATCGACAGATAAATGGATAACGAAGATGTGGTACATATATATAATGGAATATCACTTCGCCGTAAAGGAGAGAAATAACGCCATCTGCAGCAACATGGACGGTCCTAGAGATTACCACACTAAGTGAAGATGGCCGGACAAAGACAAATATCATGTGATATCACTTATACATGGAATCTAAAAAAATGACACAAATAAACTTATTTACAAAAAAATAGACTCACAGACACAGAAAACAAATTTATGGCTACCAAAGGGGATAGCAGGGCGGCAGGGGGAAAGATAAATTAGGAGTTAGGGATTAACATACACACACTACTATATATAAAATAGATAAACAGGAAGAAACTGCTGTAGAGCACAGGGAACCACATGTCTTACAGTAACCTCTAATGGAAAAGAATCTGAAAAAGAATACATATACAATTGAATCACCTTGCTATACACGTGAAACTAACACAACATTGTAAATTAACTACTTCAATTTAAAAAATGGCTAATTAAATAAGAAACACGTAGAGACTGCCCAAACACAGCCCACCTCCCTAGCTGCCCACTTCCCATTTCTCCCACCAGACTTCTTGCTTAGGACCTAGGCAAGACCTAAGCAACCTAGGACGCTCATCATGTTGCAAACACATCCCAAGTCTTCTCTCTTCTGACTCTCAGCCTTGTATTGTCACCTCAATTTCAACTACCCGTTCCCACTAACGACATCTGCAAGCTTCCACCCCAAACCTACTCCCTGACACCATGCACGATCTCGTGGGAGTGAAGTTCTCTCACTCCATCTCTAAAAACCCAAAGACATCAGCGCCAGCCTCTGTCACCCGTGGGAAAGGAGTCCCTCCACGACAGAGGTGGGTTTCACGCATCCCTGGGTCCTCCACTCCACCATGCACGCAAATATCGTTGAAGGGATAAACTATCTTATGAGCCAAAATTCATCTTCGATTAAGCATCATTTCTGCCAATTAACAGGCCTTTAGGCAAAGCTGGCAAAACACAATAAAACCAGGTAAACTTCACATACAGAGCCACTCAGAAGGAACTGGCCCAACCTCCTGTGCTTTCTGTACTCACCACCCTAGGGTAATAACCAGACACGCTCAGCACCACTTCATGTACGGAAAGCATATCAGACTTTTTGAACCACAGACCGATTTGGAAAAAGGAGAAGACTGACTCACTTAATACTAACACGACAGGGCAAGGCCTTCTATACATAAATCTTTATAAAACTTCCTGCATCTTCCCACTATGCCGGTGTAGGACTTCTAGAGGCGATAAACTGTCTACCGTCACAAAGGAAACGTCTTAATCTAAAGGAAACTGAGTAACAGAGCACTCATTCCAAAGCATTCTGTTTTGCCTGGAGATACCAAGAAGCAGCTAGATAAATTAAAACGTGGGAGATGACTAACTGCCTCAGCCCAGGGTAAAGTCTCCACGCCTGGAGTGACAGTTACTGCTTCTCTACGTGAAAGGGGGGACGGCTGCTCAAGGCACGGCACGCAGGAAATACCCTTTCAGATGGAAAATACATCTAGAATCACTTCGGAAAATAGCCCTATTTTTCTAACCTAAAGCCCCTGACACCTTCCACAGCCCAAAGCTTAAGCCTGGATACAGAACAGAATCTTTGGAGATTAAGAAAGGAAAAAATTACCTTCCAAGACAGCAGAGACAGATAAGAAGTATCATTATTGGCTGATCTGTCGCCATCCTCCAAAGTTACCATCTTAGAGAAAAATGTACTGTGAGGGTTTACGCTCAAATTTTAAATTTGGTATCAACTACAAGACTGAGCTTTCCACTTGCTTCTCTTACTATGTTCTACCTTTGGTTTCATTTGATCTAGTTTCTAATTTCTCCCTTAAACTAGCAGAGATATAAAACAGGCATATCGCTGCCATTCCACCCAAAGTTGGAGATGTGGAGAAACAGCCAATCACCTCAAATGCCTTCTGCAGGAAGAGCGCTGAATTCACTCAGTGAACAGCAAAAAATGCTGCTAGATTTGCTGGTCCTTTTTTTGGGGGGGGGGCAGGGGGCAGGTGCTGTTTTAACTTAGAGTCATTTGCTTTTATTTCTATGCTCCACTAACTATCCTGATTGAGTAAGTATCTAAATAGACCTCATATCATCCCTGGCGTCAGTTCACTCACTAAGTCAGCACTATAATACAGCAACAGAAACTTGAATTAAGCAGATTGCCAGAACCCTGGGGATTGGCTTCTCAGGTTTACTGCGATTTGTTCTAGAAAGAAAAACCAAGGAGAGGTAGATGGACCCCCAGAGAATCTGTCTGAATAAAGGGAGAGAAATCAACATGAGCTGGGTCACACTGAGGCAAGAGGCTAAGAAGAGTCTTTCTTCCAATAACTTTTACTGCTCACAAGAAAACGTTAATTCCATTAATTTTGACATGTTGGCACGCAAAAATACTATTTTCTCATCACTACCAAAAATTAATACTAAAATAGAAGTTTCATTGACTTAATTTTCCAACATTTGAACAAAACACTTCATTCACAATGTGAGTTGAAATGGCAGAAAATACATCCAAGTGAGGTTCGTGACTGTAAGATCAACCCCAAATAAATAAATACTTTTACTCTAATGTCGGCAGTAAGATTTTACTACATTGTTCAATAACAGAAAATACACTTTAAAAAATATATATTAGCATTTCTATAAGGACTCATTAATACCCAAACTAATACCAAGAATCAAACTCCAGGACCAGGATTAGTGGCTGCCGTACTGTGTGAAGAAGCAACGGACAAGGGTAAAATACAGAACTCAGGAACACAGCCAGAGGAACCACGATAAGGAAAACGGCTCACCTTGACGTGGCTCTGGGCTCCGAGGTTGTAGATCTCGGTCGGCTTCACTTCATTGATGATCTTTACGAGGCAGGTACTGTCGGTGAGGTCACCATAGTGCAGTTTCATGTCTTTAGGATTGAAACACATACCATTAGATAGAAGGAAACAACGTAGGCCCAATTTTTTAACACAGCAACACTGAAATGTATATCCTGAAAGTCTGAAAACCAGATTGGTTCTGGAGTAGCAGTCTGTAACTGTCATCTGTAAAGAAGCTAAATAGTAGAAAGAGATTCCCATTTGTTGCTACGTCTATGAAGGATTTGTAAAAACTCAGATGAGCTTTTTAAAAAAACATAATATCATGACAGATGTTACACAATCAGCGTATCTTACGGCGCCCCGGTGGCTGTAAGACATGTCACATGAGATTCAGACAAAGAAAATCTGGAAATAATGCGTATACCCTCGAACGAAACATGTTAACACGTTGACAGTAGTGAAGACAGCTCTACTCAGATAATTTTATGTAGCGATTTTTCAGTCCTTCGTAAACATCAGTCCTTAAACCATCCATGACGTGCCTGACGTATACGTAACTGATTAAAGGACAGCTAGCTTGTTCTGACCCCAGATCTAAGCAGATCCTCACACTGACTTCACTAGTGTAAGAAGGTGACACAGGCAGATGGGCATCCTGCTAACTGGATACTTTCATTAATTTTACATAATACTGACCTACATCTAGGTCCAATGGCAGTACCATTCTACACTTTGCACAAAATGATGATAATTTTCACGGAGGATTCACTGACTAACCTAAATATTAAGGTGGAAAGTGTACTAGTAGGTCATCTTCCTGATGACATCACTACCTGTACAACTAGCCCAAACCTTCCAATGTTCAGGGCCCTGAGGTGAATACAAGCCACCTGAATCATCCCTGCTGGCGGGAAACACCCTGTGTCCTCGTCCCAGCTCTGTCTTTCGCGTGTTATGGAAGCTTGATAAAGTCACACCCTCTCTCTGCTTCCATCTGTAATATGGTCTCATTCACAACCTCAGGAACTGCTGTCAAGGTCAAATGAGAAAACACGGTAACTGTGTGATGTACTCCCTGCAATTGTGTTACCAAAAATAACAAACGACTGCAAATACTGACAACCGCCTGTAAAGCAATTTATTTTTGACTGCCATCTGCTTTTGGACCTGTCTTCACCAATTATTTCTAAAATTAAATAAATGTACAAAGACTGCTTGACTTGATTAAATGAGACCAAACGTGAAAAGCAGAGGAGGGCTCTGAGTGTGGAGCTGATCTGACTCGAGGGCATAGGGACACCTGGAGACGGGTGATCAAAGGCTTGTCTGCTCTGGCCTCTCGAGCAGCCTCACCTGATGGCACCCTCGTGACGGCCTAACCGCGGTGACACCATGGCCCAGGGCAGCAGGCAGTGAAGGGCTTTCAAAGCGTGCGGATAGCATTCAGTGCAGGTAACTCATGGGTAAATAACTGCGATTTGATGGGCTTTGAGAAAAATGGCATTTGAAAACACCTTATCATAATATAGGAAGTTACACAGAAAGAGAGTTTAGAGAAAGAAAATGACTTACTTCCTTCAATATGAGCCTGGGGGTTCTTATACAGATGTTCAATTCGACCAGTATTGAATGAACTGGATCGCCGTACAATTCCATGGACCTGCATTTTTATCGTGTGCAAGGATAAGAATAAGTTATAAATATGCAGTGAGGATTCGTAAGCAACGTTATTCTGCTAATGTTTAGCTTCGTGAAAAATCATATAACTGTCATTTAAAGACCTTATTTTAAATAAGCAGGAGTTCTGCGGCTCACTCTCCCCCCACCCCGCCCCCGCCCACTGGCAGCTCCCTCCATCCCTCTCCAGTGTTTCTACTGCCAATCCCGACGAAAGTAATTAGATAATGACGTGACTTCACAGTGAGTGCTTAGTTGTAGATACTCAAATGTCTCCTTTTCCAAACACACACACACTTACGGTCCTACTGCTGACAAAAATATCTCTTCAATTTGAAACCGAAGACAGACCAGGCGAGGCCGTATCGGTCACACAGCCTGGCCACTCTTCAACCCAGAGCACGAGGAGAGGGCTGTGATGCCTCCAGCCCTGCCCAGTGCCCTCCGAGCTTTGCATCTGGCACCGATTCTTTAAATAAATACGTATCTGGGTCCACAAGAGAATCAGGGAGCCGTTGCTTTTATGCAGCTGTGTGGAAAAGCTAAGAAAGCTAAATGGCATAGGTCAGGGCCGAGACTTACGTCCTGTGAGATTTAAGGCACGAAGGAAACTCAAATGAAGGGAGGATTTTTTTTTTAATTTTTATCTTTGACTTAACCATGACAAGTGTGAGGGAAAAAAGTCATTGGAACCAGAACACATACCTGTCCGATGCTGAAGAAAAGACTATTTGTGTCTGATACATTAGAGACATTGTTCAGGACCTGGTCTCACTCCCTTCTTTGTGCTGCCAGTGCTCATACCAGCTTATGTCACCGGCTGCCCACGTCCCCATGCTGCTGGTGGCGGTTTTAGTCCTTCTCTCATTTTAGAAGCGTCCCTTCTAAGGCTGGGCAATTTCATTTGCAGCTGAATACACTTCTATATTTTAACTCAATCGTTTTCTGTCTATTTCGAACAAAAACTAATCCTTGGCATGACTCAAATATTCCAAGTGCAGGGGGGAAATTATAAGCACATAAGACTTTCTTTCAAATAGAAAGAAATGTCATCGTCACTTTACATGGCATACATGAGAAACTGACTTCTGCAAAGGATACAACACACCCACAATTAATAATTCTGTTGGTTAGATACTTTAGCCAAAGAGCTAAAACCACATTATTTTCCAAAAGAACTAAACCGAAGAAAATTTTGTAAACATGAAAATATTTTAAGACAGGAACATCACAAACTTGGTTGACATTTCGGGAGGCAAACAGTAAAATCTAGGAAACATTAAATTGCAATTTGGGTTTACGTATCCATTACGTAATTTAAAAGTAGAGAGAATAATACTTACATTAAGCTTAGAATTAATTCAACTTCATGATCTCCAGTTTTTCAAGCTGTTAATTATAAAGTTCAACTACTCTGTAAACTTAATAAACTTTGTTTAATAAAAACTTTAATAAAAACCAAGTTCACATATACACCTATACATATCAAAACTGGTGCTTACCACCAAAGTTATTTCTGAAATACGGAGATCTCAGAGGTAAGCTGAGCTTGATTTCATTGGATAGAGAGGAATTCATATGTTCTAAAAACAGATAATTTAGCTTTGACAATGAAAAAAATAATAATATGATTTAGTCTATTTTTTTCTCTTGATTGCTGGCTTCTGGATAAGTCACATATCCCAACAGCCCAAAACAAAGAGAAATGCTATATACATATACATTTTATATCAACATAAAGGACTGATAAAAATATTCAATGACATTGATGGATGCAGTATGAAAATCAGACAATTACCCAAAGTCACAGCAAATAAATAACATAGGACTTTACTGTCACACTTACAACCAAACACATTAAGCACTAGTTTTGGGTCTTTTTTTTAATACAAAAAAAAAAAAAAAAAAAAGCTGTGTTTTAATTTCCCCTCACTTCCAACTTTTGGTATGTGTATACAGGGAAAGAAAGACCTGCCAAATGCTTAATCCATGACAGCAAGTATTATTCTAAGAACTAATGAAAGCTGAGTCTGTCTACTTCTGAGACAGGTGAAATACAAACTTTAAGACAAGCCAAAATGTGTGCAAACTGGATGATCTAGTTAAGAATGTGAGATTAGCGGCTTTTTCTTTACAGAAGGGAGGTAGGCAGGATTTTTTGTTTGTTTTTATAAGGATTTTTGGAGAAAAAGAAACGAGTTAGGAAACCAAAGTGAAAAGATGAATGAGCTAAATTTGATTCCTGATAAAATTAATTAAAATCGTTATTAAATTATAGCAGTTCAAAAACAAAATTTCTGAAAAACTAAGGTGTTAAACAGAAGTGAGCATTTTTGACAAAAAAATTTCAAGTTCCATTTAACTAAGTGATGAAAAGGAAAATTTCAAGTTCTCACGATGTCAGAACAAAGTTGGTTTGACTTCAAAACCCAGAGTCAGATTAGGCAGTATAAATGCACAGAAATGCTGACTGATGGATTGATTGATTACAGTCGAGAAAATAGAAAATTATTACCACTGGATTTTAAATTCTTCAGTGTCTAGATTTCTCTTGGAGGCAAGGATGCCTCCCAGGGATGTTTAATGCAACCTGCTTCTGAAAAGTCTAGATGACGTCGGTCACATCAGCACACACATGGCAGTGACCGTGCACAGACACTGTTCTCTGTGGACATTAAATCACTGAACCTTCACAACCACCTTCGTATCGTGACTCCCATCTTACAGGTGAGGACGCTGCCTGAGACCACGCCACCAGCACGTGGTTCTGTTAAAGGTGGACGTAGCCCATCGTGCCAACACTCAGTATGGTTTCAGAGCGAAAGCCACAAAAAGCTTTGACTTTTTTGCACCCAGGCTTCTATCAATAGGATTACCAACAACTCAGAAAAAAGGATCCACAGATCAAGAACGGAAGCACAGGAACTCCAGTTCTAACAAACAGTCTCCCAGGGATGACTGCACAGTCCGTATACCCCATTTCTTTTCTGCTCTCCTGAGGCCCCCTGGTTACAGTTCCTCTCCTGGAAGGGAAACCCACGATTTACCTATTCTCTAATTTTACATTCTGATTTGCTGTGTTGTCATTGTTACCAAGTTAATTAATATAGATTTCTCACATATTCCCAGATACATTCTAGCTTTTAAAGGGTTTGACTTTGTCTTTCATTTTTCTGGTTTCTCTTTGTATTTTGCACAAAATAAGTACAAAAGTATATTGTTGGCTTATCTGCTAACAGTGATGCTAGGAAGGCACCTGAAACCAGAGGCACCTTCACAGGAAGCTTCACTCCTGTGGTTTTCCTCTTTCCCTGGCGACGGGAAGGAGCACGCGCAGAGCCGGGACCCGGGCAACGTCACACGCCCGCCCTTTCCTGATGCCAAGTAACAGACTGGACCGAGGGCCTCCTACAAAATCTGTGTCCCTCGGCCGGTCAGCACCAAGCAGTGTGCCACCCGCCTGTCCTGTAAGACTAAGCTCCACAGGCCCACAGAGCTCCTCTGGACTGCTGTCCCCGTGCGTCTCACCTGACCTTGGTGGCGACCTTGGGGACACGTGCACTCATCATCTAAGTCTCCGAGAGGCCGCGGAGCCAGCAAGTGGCGGGAAAGGATAAGGACGCAGTCCAGCACCCAGCTCAGGGGCTGCCTCGCCACCGCGAGCTGGATGGCCTCGCTCACCTCCCTGCTCTGAGCGGCCTGACACGGTACAAAGGAGAATTACCCTCTGCATTTCAACAATGTGTAGAATTAAAGCCATAAAGATGGTCTTCTATAAACGCTGAGAATTCTTGGCTCTCCTCATCATGAGATGATACCTACAGACATTCTATAAATAATGAACACATGTTAGATCCATTCTCTTTATCTTTATGCCCCACCCCCATGTTTAATCTGGAGCAAAATTCAAGAAACCAGCAGCGTTAACTTTAAACCTTGAAAGGGTCTCCCTTCTCAGTGAGGAGCGGACCCGGGATGAAGCAATCCATCTTTTTTACGTTACATTGTTCATTCAGTACATGATCAGACGGGACCTCCCTGACGGTCCAGTGGTTAAGGCTCCGTGCTCCCCATGCAGGGGGCAAGGGTCCGATTCCTGGTCAGGGAGCTAAGATCCCGCATGTCGCATGGCACGGCCAAAAAATGAAGTAGTCCTATGCCTTGACGTGGAATGACGTTCATAATATATCGTGAATTGAAAAAAAAGAACATGATCAGATGCACGGATTTCAGAGGACACGTTAGGTGACCAGGCCCCGCAGCTTCAGAAATCTAAGGTGTGTGGTCAGACGAGGTATTTAAGCATAACTAGTTAATCTATAACATATGAGACTCCCTTTCAAGGCATACACAAACATCTCCCTCTGCTTCAAGGTTAGCCAGGCTTTTCGTACCTTTACTTTGCTGCTTTGACTAACTGCACTACGTCACCTCCACGCACAGGCGTGTGTTCACCTTCGCTGCCCCATCGTCACTCCCCAGCCAACCTGGCTCTGCTCCTCAACCTGCTTCCCTCCAGCTGACTGTCCACGGGGTCCACGCCCCCCACCCCACCCCGTGCTCATCACGAAGGCCAGGGAAGCCTGCCCCTTTCTTATGCAGGAAGATCTCAGCCTCAGGGTCAAGCCTGCCCTCAGAATCTGCAGCTCTTCCTCCTAGTGTTCATTTGTTCCCAGCGACGCTTTGCTACCCCAAAGTATGTTGTTTCCAGTTATTTCTGGTCCACAAAGACTAGATCCAAAATAATATGAGAGCTCAGGGAACCAAGGTACCCCAAATTAAGATACCTTAAGAAATGCTGTTCAGCTTCACCTTGGCATTAAAAGAGCTCATTTGAACCTCTAGTTGCAGTGGTTCTCACACCATAGGACCCAGGAAAGCAGCCACCGCGACAGCTGGGGGCTGTTAGAAAGGCCGGTCTAAGGCCCCGGACTCAGCCGCCTCGTCTTCAGTGGGGCCCGGGCGGCTCTGAGGCTGAACGCTGGGAACTCCTGACTCAGAAGGAGGTGCTCGCCCAGAATTGCTGATGTTGGCCCTCTGGGTTCAGGTGTGGACAGGGGTGTCCCCTCTCATCTCACGGGAGGCAATTTTCTAACCCTGTTATTTATTTTGCTCGTGTTCTGGAGCAACCAGGGGCTGCTGGTGGTAATTCTGGAATTTGTGCAACGCAGCCTCTTCGAAAAATCACTCTCACATCTACTTTGACCTAAACACCAAAAGATAAAAGCCTGTGCTATCATCAGGTCCCAGTTAATAAACTGACCCTCCAATTACATCAATCTCTTAAAAGTGAAGACAGCAGCCTAGGAAAACTGAAGACAGGACAGATAAACACCCTCTCACGGCCCCCATTCCTACAAAACTCACACTCCCCTGTGCTCCAAGGAGGAATCACTTCCGGTCATGCCATGCAGCTCCGAACCTTCCACCTGTACTGCAGGGAGTATTTCCTTCTGCCCTCTCCTCTCTTGCCAATCACTGTTTCAATGACTCATCCCTCCCACGAACTGTGATTTGCCGAGTGGGCCTTCTATGGTCTCTATCAGAATCCAACCTGCTCTTACAGTTTCAGATGCCAGCGGAAGAAAACACCCGAAGCGCACCTGGTTGGCCTAGATTCTGATTTATTCCTGAGTCTCTGGTCCACTCAGGAGCATGACAACCCGTCTTCAGGGGTCCAGCAATTCCTGAACAGGCCGCCTACATGGAGCTCTGCCTCCTGGGCACGCCATCCTCCGGGCCCTTCCCAGGAACACTGACATTGCCATCCTGATGCCCGAGGAAGCTGACCGCCTACCGCGTCCGGACAGACCCCCGTCCCCATTCCTCCCGGGCGCCTCACACCTCCTCGCCGGCTCTCTCTCCCTCGGGGCCAGCCACATCCGCATCCGATGCCTCAGTGCCCCGCGTCCACTTCGGAAGTGCATCTCGGGATCCACCCAGCTTGAGCACTCCTGCTGACACACCGCCTCTCTCTTCCCGAGCTGCGGGGACTGTGGGGGGCTCAGGACGCACCAGCCAGGGCATGGTGTCTGGGCACACTGCATATTTTAAGCTGAACGAGTCTGCGAAAATGACAGAAGTGCGAAGGTCACCCTGACTTTCCCCCCACCCTTCTCCCCTGAAGCAGCTAGGTGGGAGGTGCCTTCCCCACACCTGGAGGAAAGGAGCATCTTCACGTCCCAAGACAAGGGGATGCTGGGAAGAATCCCACCCAACAGACCTGGCTGAGCCACGCCCAGTCCTACACTTACTGCAGACCCCTGGACCTCATTTCTCCACCACTGTCCCTCCTCACCTAACCTAACACACAAGTACTCGGGCTTACCCGCCTCTTCGGATCCTCATTTTCTCAGGAAGGCTCCCATGTCACAGAAAACTTACATTAAATACATCTGTATGCTTTCAGTTTAATTTTCAGACCCAGCCAGGGACCCTTAAGAGGGTCGAGGAAAATGTTCTCCTCCTCTACACTAAACTAACAATTACAAATAAACAGGAGAAACTTCTGCTATTTTTTCAAACTCCGTCAGCTTAAAATATTCACATGCCAAGGGGCCATGTTTGGGGGTAAGGTGTCCTGACCCATCACCATTACTCAGGTAGCTCCTTCTCTTGGCTCACTCGGTACACAGCCAAATCACTCACCCCGCTCCAGCCACCAAACGACTCTTAGCCTGTCCCAACATCTGAAACAAGATAAGTACGTCTCTCTCACAAACCTTTCCTTTTAGAATTATTAAAGCATCAAGTTAGTCCAGCCTGAATAAATATCAGTCTTCACCTAAAACCAATACTTCTATTCTACACATAACTCTAAAATCCTCTGCTCTGCAGCGTATGAATTGATTGCTCAATTATTATAGGAATCTATGTATATGAACATATGTGTACATGCCTATTTCCATAGTTACATTTGCCTTTTTTTGATACCATGACAAGATGTAGAAGTAGCCATTATTAGATAAAGGCACAGAAGGTCTAATCATATCTGCTATTAATCAAAGTCTAAAAGTCAAAGTTCACAGAAAAGATTATGCATTACAGTAAGAAAACTAGGTTCCTTTCCTTCAAATCCTGTTGGTGCTTAAATGCCAAATTCCTTGCTATTGTTTTTGCATTTGTCCACGGTGCGCATTTTTTAAACAATGTACCTGCGACTGGAAAAAACATGGCGTCCAAAATTATTAAGGTAAACACCCCCCAAATCAGGCCAGAGAACATGTGCCACTGCGTAGGCTTCTGTCTTCTGAGGAGCACAGAGATTTCTAGAGATGTGCACATCCGAAAACAGTTCTTATAAAGTGTAAGATGTACATGCTAAGATACATCCATTTAATATGTAAAACCCTTGTTTCTTTCAAGGAAAGCAGAAAACGTGTAAGGAGGAGGACGAGAAGGAGAAAAGGACGACAAGGGCAAGAGCAGCAAACGCAGAAGCTCCAGCTTCCACGAAGTACTGGCTGCCGACTGGAAAGCAAGCATCTCCAAGTGTCAACTTTGCACTCAGGCTTGCCAGGGATCAGCTTAGTTTTTACTGCTCTGTGCAATTTCCGAATTAAGTGACTTCGCCGTGAGTGGGACTTTTTTATGTAACACATGACATCATAAATTAACCCTAAGGACGGTACAGCGTTCAGCCCACCTGGTTGCTGGTTTAGCTGAGAACGCGGGAAGCGTGCAAAGCAGGGAAACAGCAAGAATGGGGGGCGGGGGGCTGCCAGCGCGCCAGCAGATAAACAGCACAATGAGCTGGCGCTGTGACCAGCCAAGAGGCACATTCTTCCCCTGATTTGGACTTGTTATCAGAGCTTCCGTGGAAACACACACAGAAGGACAGCAGAGAGGAAGCGGGAGGCCACGGTGTCCGCGGTATCCCGTCGGCCTGTGCCGGCTCATAGGGGACTCACCTCGTAGCCCTTCTCCAGCAGGAACTCGGCCAAGTAGGAGCCGTCCTGGAAGACAAGGAACATCAACAACGGTCAGACCCATCGTGGCCAAGACTAAGGGTTTTGAAAACAGCATTCAGAGGCTCTAGGAACTTAAATAAGGCTCATGGCAACCGACATGAAAATAATACAGACAACATCCGACATAAACACGGAGTGGTGCTGTGCCGTCCACTAAGCCTCCCATAGACGGGCGTTCGTCTGTGCCCACGGGAGCGTGGGAAGGCGTTGGCATCACCACGTGCACAGGGAAAGAAACTGAAATCCAGGGACACATGGGGGCAACAGGGAGAACAGGAAGCTTCAAAAGCTGATGGATCTGCTTTAGGTTTTGCCGCTTACTAGCCCTGTGAAACACGCAACACGTGTGCGGCCAAGCAGAAGGGCTTGGTGCTCCTGGGACATAAAACAGGAATCTATTTCTGGGGGTGCTGTACAGAAGGAGACGCTGGAGCAGGGATGAGACAGGAGCTGCGGGGCCTGGGGAGAGGGCAGGGCGAGTGCGGGGAGGAGGCTGAGAGCACAGCGGTATTGACGCCACTGGAAAGAGCTACCACGGGGAGAGGAGGAGGTGTGGGCCCTCAGGGGAGGCCCTCCCGGCACTGGTGGCCTTGGCTTCGAGCCCAAGGGTCTGGAAAGTCACCTCAGAAAGGGTCTGGGGTTTGAAGGTGGGGTGGGGGCGGGCCGTAGACACAATGGCGCTGGCATTAGCCCTGAATACACGTGCAGGCGCACGCACACGCGGAGTTCAGTAAAAGCGAGGTGCTTACTTTTTATGAAATAATGGGAACTTCATTTGTGCGCATCTTAAATCATGCAGTTAATCTCTACGTTAAGATGACAGTGTCTGACTAAACACAGAGATTCTCAGCTCATTTTTTTAAATTCTTTAAAAATGTCTAGGTGAGGGTGGAGGTTCTAGGTAAAATACCTCATGCGCCACTTTTAGGGAAAGAAAGTATGAAAGCCATCTAATTAAACTGTTAAGAGGCCACAAGGCACAAAATCAGGGTTCTAGAGATACGGTAGAACATCACCAGCCCTGCTCAGAAAATGAGCTGGGTGGATATTTCACAATCAATCCTGTAACTGCCCTTCTGCTTTCAGCCTGGGCAAGTCCCCTCTATCCCAACCAGACTTAACATAAAAATGAGAGGCTCCAACTACTGGAAACTTGTGTGCTCAAAACTGGTTGGGAATATTTGGATTTCCTTTGGTTTCCTCAGTTTGTAAAAGCTTAAAATATCCCTTTGAGCTTCAAAAGTTCCTACCAGATATTCCAGGAAAAAGAAAAATAAAGCAGGTTTTATTCCTATCATTGCTTGACTTAGAGCTGGAACTGGAGACACCCTATGGGTCCTGAAAATGAGAGGGCTGCCGCGAGGGCGCTTGCTGCATTAACGCAGAAGTCACGCGTGAATTCAGGCAGGATGACAAGGCGAGGGCGACAAGGGATACATTTTGTGGTTCATTAAAACCCCCGTCAAATTTTCTTCTGACTTGTTGACATAAATATTCTGGTTTACAGACTCATGTGGAGAAGAAGAGAAATGGTCTGGCACATTCCTTTTCCTCTCAATCTTAGGATATATGCACAATTGTGTGGTTTTACACACCCAACATGCAAAGTAAGCCAGATAAGAGAGCTGAACAATTCACACCCCGACAAGCCAAGTCAATCTACAGGACCATCAGAAACTTGAGGATAATCAATAGTCTTATAATTCTGAAAACAGCTTAACAGAAAAAGCATTTACAACAATAATAATAATTTTACAGTAGGTCGGACAGCCCTAGAAAGTACATTTTGTTTTGCTCTTGGTGGTGGTGATGTCATTTTGAAGCAGGCAACACTGCACTTTTCACAGTTTTACTTTTTCTCTTGGAATAAAAAGTTAAAATGCTCTGTGCTCCACCACGGTTGCCGAGAATGTTTAAAAACAAAAAGGCAGAGGTGAGACCGTGGGGAGGGGCTGTGATTCAGAGGCTGATGTGAAACAGGCCTGCCCAGGGCTGAGCCCTGTCAATAGGTCTTGCTCTTCTCACCCAGGCCCTCCTCAAACTTTCCAGCCAGGCTGGAACATTCTGCCCCAGCAGTGGCACCTGCTTCCTCCTCACTTCCTTGCCAGGTCTCCCAAGTGATAGGGCCGGCCGCACAATGTGGGAACCGCGGCAGCGCGAGGCCCTTGGCCCCCCCGCCCCTGGCCCCCAGACCCCTGCACTGAAGCCCCTCTAGGAGAACGGGCCGGTCGCACAGCACCTCCCCCAGATGGAAAACCACAACGTCACGGCAACTGAGAGCCACAGCCAACATGACATCTGACTCTCGACTCCTGGAACCCGAGGAGCTGACGGCCTAAATGTCCGACTCACGACGAACACAACTCATCTGGGACCGACTCCAGCCTGGGCTCACGCCTCGTGACAGGAGACGCTTTCACTGGAGAGCCAGCACCCCAGCCGGGACTCTTTTCAATTCGGTTTTGCACATGGTTATGAAGACAGTCTCCATTTCACATTAAACGTTGTACAGTTGGAAGTAAGCACCACAGCTTTAACATTTTCAAGACACAGAAATATTTTCTGTCTTATTCTTCCAGGAACTCACCGGGAAGGCAGGCAGCCCCTTGGCACGGGAGTTAGGGAGGCCCGTGGAGGTTAGGGGCCCGCCTGGTGGCACCCACGAGAGGGGAAGCCAGGACTAGAACCCGGGGCTCCCACGACTGTGCCCTGGGAAACCACTTCCTCCACCTGGGGCCCACCAGCGCGTGTCAGAGCCCAACAAAGCAATAAAAAGACCATAACAGACTCATTTTTAAACCAAATTGATTTAGTCACTTTGCATGACAGGGTATCTTACAGATTAAACAGTCCTTCTAGTTTTAACCAAGTGACCCAAATGCAGAAGGTCCTGTAACTTTAGGACAGCCCAGAGCTCGGGGGGGGAGGCAGGACACAGGGCCGGGGCCTTCTCCAGCCTCATATGGGCACCACTGCCTCTTGGAAGCAGTGTCTGGAGGTGGACTTGGGATGTAGGTTTCAGGCTGTCGAGCCAGGCGGCAGGGCCACTGCCAAGGGTCCCAAACGGGAGGATTCCGGCGTGCCTGGTGCCTGCAGCCCCCGTCCTTGTGCTTCACCTTTCATGTAATGTTCCAGATACACACCTATACAATTCACAGTAATTCCAGAAGTTGAATCCTATCTTGACTATAAGATAAAAATTACCTAAAATTTCACATCTATAAAAAGCTGAAGGGAGTGCAGAAAGTTTCCCCCTTCTCCCGAAGGCCACAGAAGGCTGAAACAGCCCTGACCGAGCCTCATACCCACCCATGTCCACACACATATGGCCTCATACCCACCCATGTCCTCAAACGTATGGCCACCTACCTTCCTGCAGAGAGGAGAGAGCATTCCTCTTCTCTCTCCAAACATGGATTCACTTCTAGCCCACAGGACAAGTGAAAAGGACAGCTTCTCAGATGCAACTTGAGAACCCGGCCCCTCTGAGCTGCGCCTAAATCAGCCTATGTTTCTGCCGAAGCACCGTTGGGCAGCTTCTTTGAAGAGGGTAAGATAATGAGCAGTGCTGGGCTGAAGAAACCAGGCCTCTAGTAAAATGAATTCCCTTGTTTAGATCACCTCAAGCACTGGGAAGTACAATACCACCCCTGTAAGGAGAGAAAGCACTCGTCCACACTGCCTGCCACACGCTGTAAGTCTATGCGCCCTAATTACTCTAAAATAAGCATTTTCACCTAATTGCAATTACAATATCAAAGTAATCTGTACCTCCAATGAGAGAAGTACAGACACCTCAAAGATTAACAGAAGATGCTGCTTTGAATTAGAATGAAGACTTCAGATGGGAAGATTAGCCACCACAGTGCCAAGATTCCAGAGGCAGAATGCACGGGAAAAGTATTTTCACCTGGCTCACACTTGTAGCACAAAGCACTGGATAAAATCTCTGTCACACTCACAGAACTCAAAAGACCACAGGGATTATTAATCCCACTGTCTTATTTTGCAGCTCAGGAAACTGAGACTAAAAACATTAATTGTTTAGTGTCCAGTCACAGAGTTAGGAGGTAGCAGAATGTGGAAAAAAAAAAAAAAAAAAAAGAAAAAAAAAAAAAAAAAGAAAAAAAAAAACTCGGAATTCCCTGGTAGCGCAGAGGGTGAGAGTCCGCCTGCCGATGCAGGGGACACGGGTTCGTGCCCCGGTCCGGGAAGATCCCACATGCCGTGGAGCGGCTAGGCCCGTGAGCCATGGCCGCTGAGCCTGCGCGTCCGGAGCCTGTGCTCCGCAATGGGAGAGGCCACAACAGTGAGAGGCCCGCATAACGCAAAACAAACAAACAAACAAAAAAAAAAAACCCAGATCTCTCAGACCTCAGAATTTTTAACTAAGAACTGTGAAAAGAGCTAAAACGAATAGACTGGACTCATGTGTACAGTTGCGAACCAGAGGGAAGAACGAGAACAGAGCCAGCAAGTGTCAGGAGAGGGAGCAGTAACTGGCTGGCTGGACACAAGGACGCCATCCATGTGCAAAACATATAAATAACCTCGCCTCCTGTAGTCTTTAAAGCTGAAGATTATTTCCCCATAAAAGTTGAGGTCGCCCCCAACCCCCAAGAACTGCCTTTCACTCCCTTTGATTTACCTCCCGGTAGAAGGAGTGATCAACAACCCCTGCATAGCAAAGACTGATGGATACTCCTTTCTAACCACCCCTTCCTGCAGACCCCCTGCTGGGGAAAGAGCCCCCAAGGAGGTGCTCAGCGGCTGCACACACACCTCACACGCGCACATGGCACATGGATAAGTGACACTGGCTCTGCTGCAAACCAGGACCTCCCAGGAAATTGTGATGAGCTGAAGCTTAAAGGCAACATTTTAGAAAGAGGCTGGATACCCCCCATCAGACTACACATTGCTCTACCATTGCCCTGATATCTTTCCCCAAAGTATTTTCAAAATGTTTCTAATGTTAATTTCAAAT